GTTCAGTACTACACTTGAAATCAAATCGCGATGTAGACTAGTGTGTGTGAATATTAAAACACAAAGACTATTTAAATACGAATCCTGCATGTTCTGTGTGAAGGACTGGTGCCGCCGACGCGCAGTTTCATTTACCACACACACACACACACACACACACACTGAAGCACGTGTGACGCTTGCGCTGTTTTTTGGCCTATATGAATACACAAATGCATAAACTTCCTCTCCAGGCTCTAGATCCACTCTGAAAGTCACTTCGTGATCATTTCACCGCTTCATTTGAGAAAAACTATCATCATGACATTATGATAGTTTTCTTTTGACGGCAACCCGTCAAAATAAAAGTTCGGTTTAACTTGACAGAAATATATTACTGTTGTACATTAGAATTTAGATATGTCCCAATGTAATAATACACTAACACTAATCCAAATAAATTATCATCAAAACTTGAAAAGTAAGACATGAAAAGATTTATTGATGATAAAATTGATGATAAATGCTAAAATTTGTGTTTTATGTCTTCATTTTATTTTCATTTTCATTTCATTTTATTGCCAGAAAAAACACAACACAGAATTAGTGTGAATTTTTTTTTCATATATTTAAAAAAAAGTATAAGTTTAATCATAATACATGATTTCACTTAATAAAAATACCCCCCCCCCCCCTGAAAAAAAATCCTAGGGGAAACACTGTTGTGGATTAGGACAGTAAGAGGTATTAGTTATCTTTTTGTTTGTTATTTTGGGCTCTGTTGGCTCCTAAAGCTAAATCCCCAGTTGTATTATAAACCTGTTAAATTCAATAAACATTGTTTCATTTGCTTTTCCATAAAAATAAACCTTATTGTTTAGTTTTTTTTCATGTTACGTCCTTTGACCTACACGGGGCGTAACATATTAAAGGGTTAGTTCACCCAAAAATGAAAACTCTGTCAGTAATTACTCACCCTCATGTTGTTCCAACCCCGTAAGACTTTCGTTCGTCTTCGGAACACAAATTAAGATATTTTTGATTTATCAAGTTTATCAAGCGACGAGAATAGGCTACTTTTTGTGCGCAAAACAAAACAAAAAGAATGACTTTATTCAACTATTCATTTTCTTCTGTGTGGGCCTCGAGTTAGTTCACATAGTGTAACAGCCCAGCGTTACATCAGAACATAGGCTCACTAATGGCCGACGCTGGTCATGACATGAGTGTGATGCTGGCCAATAGTGAGCCTACGTTCTGACGTACAGCCCAGAAGCGCTGTTACACTACGTGAACTCACTGTGAATAGTTGAATAAAGTTGTTAGTTTTGTTCGTTTTTTTGCGCACAAAAAGTATTCTCGTCGCTTGATAAACTTAAGGTCGAGCCACTGTAGTCACTTGGACTATTTTAACGATGTTTGTACTAAGTTTTAGTTCGGCAAGTTTCAATTACAATAGAAGCCTATATGGAGGAGTGATCCAGCTCTCAGATTTAATCAAAAATATCTTAATTTGTGTTCCAAAGATGAACGAAAGTCTTACGGGGTTGGAACAACATGAGGGGGAGTAATTACTGACAGAATTTAAATTTTTGGGTGAACTAACTGTTTTTTTAACATTGATAATAACAATAAATGTTTCTTGATCATCAAATCAGCATAAATTAGAGTGATTTCTGATGGATCATGTGACACTGAAGACTGGAGTTTTGATCATTGGAATAAATTACATTTTAAAATATGTTACAATAGAAAACAGTTATTTCAAATTGTAATAATATTTCACAATATTTTAGTTTTTACTGTATTTTTGATTAAATAAATACAGCCCTGGTGAACACAAGACACATTTCAAAAACATTAACATAAACTTTTTTTTTGATTATGATTGTAACATTCAGGCTATGGAAGAAGTTGAGGCGTGTGTAGCGGGTCTATTAGCTGCAAAAACTGTATTTACAAACACAAAAACAAGTAATCCAAAACAAAGAATCAATAAAATTGTGTGCTAAGGCACATTCAGCATCAGACAAAAAACAGGAACTAATGATCTTAATGAGGAGCAGGTGGATGAAATCAAAACACAATAAGTAACTATGACAACCGATGAAAACATGGAAGGAAATAAAGGAAACAATGAGATACAAACTAAAAGTCCATGAAAACAAAATAAAAAAAACAACTGAACGTGACATTACTCCCTTCTTCCGGAAGGCGGCTCCTGACACCTACACAGGACCACAGATGATGGCAGGAGTAATAGCAGAAGAGGCCATGGGGAAGCCGGCAGTGGACAAGACCACGGGGAGCCAGTAAGGAGGATGATGACCCATGAAGGAACCAATAGAGGGAGCCAGGGTGGGGTCATGAGCCTGACTGACTGAGGAGTTGTGGAGACCCAGGCGGAGTCTGATGGACCGAGAGATGAGGCAACACCGGAAGATCTGGAGATCAAGGCGGAGCCACGGTGACAAGCGGCCAAGGTGGAGCCAGGGTGCCGAAGGACTGAGGCATAGCAAGTGGGAGTGAGGTGGAGGCGAATGGAAGGAGGAACCTAACAAAGTCAAAGGGCTGGAGGACCAAGGCCCAGCTGAAGACTTAGAAGTCCATGGTGGAGGTAGAGCAACAACTGATCAAGGTGGACCTGGAGGGACAAGGGAGCCTGGTGGAGCCAGAAGGACGACAGTCCCAGGTGGAGCTGAGGGAGTGAGGAGCCAAAGTGGAGCCGACTAGTCAACGGAGCAAGTTGGAGTAGTGGGGTCGGAAGCCAGAGGCAGAGCCAGGGGATCCACACACCAAGGTGGAGCTGGGGACCGGGAGGTCCGAGGCATAGCAGCTTGGCTGGGCTGAGTAGGCGGAGGAGCCAAGGAGCTGAACGAGACCAGCAGAGCTGACACAGAGGAACTAAAATGCTTACTTGGAGGAGGAGAGAGTGGGAGGCTGGACGGGACCATCAGCGACGAAGGAGATTTGGAGCTGGGCGGAACCAGTGGTGGCGAAGAATACTTGGAACGGGGTGGATCCAGATGCGACAAAGAAGACTTTAGGGCTGAGCGGGGCCGGTGAAGACAGAGAAGCTGAAGAACTCATGGGGCTGGGTGAAACCAGCGGAAAAGGAAGGGCATGGACACAGGAAATCATCAGGAAATCGATCACTCAAGACTGAGGTAGACTAAACTCCGATTCTGGAGGATAGAGGCGACCACAAACTTCTTCATCCAGCTCCATTAAAACCCCCACAGGGACGGATGTAGGAATCGGCTCACACATGGTCAGACTGGGCAGCAGGCTTTGTCTCTGGGACGGACGAGGATTCGTTGTGGGCATAGGCTCTGGCAGTGGGTCTGTGGTGGACTCAGCCTCATTATTCGCGGTTGGTTTGGGCTCTGGATCTGGGTCCATTGAGCAAGGAAATGGAATGGAAATGCTGCTGCTGTATCCATTTGATAATCCTTTCTGTGGTCTGGTGTTCTTGTAAGGTTCAGGCTGAGGAAGAAGAAAGGCAAGCGTAGTGGATCAATTGGCAGCAAAAACTTCCAAAACGAAGAATCAACAAAACAGTGTGCTAAGGCACATTCAACATCAGACAAAGAACAACTGAGACTGAGGACTCTAGGAACTAATGATCTAAATGAGGAACAGGTGGGTGAAATCAATCAAACAATAATAAAATATTACAACCAGAAAACATGCTTGGCAACCATGACAAACAAGGAAACAGGAAACAATGAGAAACAAACTAAAAGTAGCCTACATGAAAACAAAACTAAAACACGATAATGATATTAGGACTGTTGTATCAACTTGACAGAAGATATATCAAAATGAATTGTACATTTTTCTTTTTTTAATACTCATCATAGAAGAGGTGTATTCAAGTCAGTGTTTAATTGTATTTTTAGGGTATGTTTTAATAAATTAATAAATAGGACAAGAAAATCTGCATCATGTTGTTGACATACATCAAAACAAACGCTGACTGTTTTGTTGAGATTTGGATCAAACAGTGTCTTTCTGGTGGTTCTTTGCCATATGCTGCATTATGACTTTATGACTTCATGACAATCGTAAAAGTTCTCACTATGCAAGACTGATGATGTTGTTGTCACTTTGATCTGAGTGAAACCTAGAGATTCGGTCACACAAACTTGTACCTCTTTAGTTTGCAAGACATACTATGACTGCAGTGTTATGCTTGACTTGCTGTGTGTGTGTGTGAGGTGTTAATTAGCCGGTACTGTCAATATCTCATTACTCTACGCTGCTTAAACCTTAAGCATTCACACATGATCGATCTCAGTGCCATTCTGATGACATGAAAGTTACTAACAGTACCTACACTGTCTCGGCCAACAACCTGTATTCAACCTGCTCTGTCAGCACTAGCATTAGTCATCAAAATCCCATATCACTCCACCACTAGCTTTGTGTCACATATACATCATGATTTGTGTGATATTGTGTTTCTCCCTGATTTGTGATGTTTTTCCTCAGTCCATGAATAATGTTTATTCTCTCTCTGAGCTGGTGCTGAATAAATCAGGCCTGCTATATTGCAGGTCTTGAACGGCTTCAGGCGACAGCAACAGTCAGAGGTCCCTTAAACATTTATAAACCCAGTCTCACATCTTGATAGGTTAATTTAGCTCACTGTATTGGCACATATGTGCTCTGGTTTTGGTTTATGATCAGAATTTCAAAGGTGTTGTTTGCACACAGACCAGCTCCACCATAGTGTGAAAAAAAAAAAAAAAAAAAAAATAATTTTTTTCATGCACTGATCAGTTTTGAGATTTTGAATATAGCTTTTCCATAATGTTTTTGTTCAGACTAGTAAAAAGAAAACATGCAAAATACATGTTTATTTTATTGTACTTTATCTATTTCCGTCTGTAGATTTGAATTGCACTTCTTTAAAGGCCGTTTTCTCAAATTATTATTATTTTTCTTCTCCTGGTGCATGGGACCTTTTCATTTTGGGGAGAGTATTCCTGTAATTTGATTTGTGTGTGTTATGTCAGTCGAGAGGAGCGTTCGGGGGAGGATGTGGACATTATCTTGGCCCGTCTGAAAAGCGTGAAGGCCTTTGAGAAGTTCCACCCTGCTCTCCTTCAGCAGATCTGTCTGTGTGGCTTCTATGAATGTCTGGAGAAAGGCATAACATGTGAGTCAAACACACACACACATGGACACATGGTATAAAAAATGTTTGTTGACAGAATTACTTCGATTTACTGTAACTTGAAAAGTCAAATACTGTAAGGTTGCATTCTGACTGAGATTGGTGTTACAAGATCATTTCTAAAATAGAGCACTACCTCCTCTGTTTGTTTATGTGTGTGTGTGTGTGTGTGTGTGTGTGTGTGTGTGTGTGTGTGTGTGTGTGTGTGTTAGTATACAGGCAGGGTGACATCGGCACTAACTGGTACACTGTCCTGTCTGGTTCTCTGGATGTCAAAGTCTCAGAAACAGCAAACCATCAGGTACATTATCACTTCAGTTCTGCTTTTAGATGCTAGAGAACAGAGCTCATCCTTTCTCTGAACTATCAAAGAAATGTAACCCTGTCATTTACATGCATCACCCGTGGCAGTGAGACACATCACCAAATAGTAATTAAGCTTGTCACTATATCAAATTGTTATAAATTGAACAAAAACCTCACAGGTTTCCAAATAACACCATAACAAATAATAATTATTATTGAATTATACAACTACTATAACTTAAGTATATTCAGCCTCACCCAGATACATACAGTACACTCACGTAAAGCAATATGTACTAACAGCATCTCGGCTTCATAATTGTTTATATCGTAGCAAATTTAACTATATTATCGCACAGCTCTATATATAATGTTGGATACAGTATACTATCACAAAGGGCAAAATTGACAAAGGAGAACATAGGAATATGGAAGTAAAATAATGACAAATGTTTTTGAAACAAAAAAGCTTGTTGAATTGGCATTAACCCTGCTTGCAAATTGAATGCATTGCATTTTTAGGACTTGCATTTTTATGGCCTGAAATTCAACATGGTTGTATATTTAAGCTGTGAATATTTCAAGTCAAAACATTTCACGGACGTTTTCATTATTAAAAATTCAATAATCCATATTGACCTTTCAGTTTCTCTTCCAAAATATTCATTCTGTTTAAAAATACAAGCTATGATATTCGACAGGCAAATTTTCGGTCCATTTTTATCGCTTCCACAAATTCAGTGGTTCAAATTCGACAGAAAATTCAACATTTGACATCCGGGAACGGCAGGAATAGCAGTAGATTACCGATTAATAATCTCCATAGCTGTTAGTCCTCCTCACCAGCAGGAGGTGCAAGCGGCTGTTGACGAACACTAGAGCAACGGGTGAGAGAGTCGTTCATTCATTCATAAAAACGAATTTACAGAAATGAAGCAAGCGGTAAGTATTTGTGATGATTATAAGGGTCAATATATATTGATATATTACAATATATATTGAATATATCAATATATATTGATATATTCAATATATATTGTACTGTATACTTTTCATATACAGTATGTATATGAAAAGCTGATAAAGACACAAAAGCTGTGTTTACTTACATTTAAGTCTTCACAGTTAGTTTTGCACATGTACGCAGCTTTCTCTACCGTGAACAAGATTATAATGTTATTCCCCGATGCTGATGTACAGAACAAACGTTAAATCTGAGGTAGACATATATTTCTCTCGGTTGTTTAGTTTTCTTAACTTTATAGAACTGGATTTCCTCAATACGTCAATATTGGGGATGTAGGCTGTACTAGAGATAGGAACAGGCAAGCGGACTCAGAATATGAATGTAACGCGCAAAGTTTCGTGCTAAGCGATTCCCAGTGAAATACTGGCATAAAGTTGGCTTGACACTGGATATTCGATATTCGCACATTTAGGGACCGTCTCTAAAGTTACATGCGACATTGGTACACATGTTTTTAACTTCAATAGCATTTGAAGTCATGACTTTCAGACATAAAACCAACTGTAAATTGTTCATGTACCGGTAGGTGTCAGGCATGATGCCCACTTTTTAGATAGTAGATATTAGAATAAAAATGAGAGCATGCGGTAGGCCTACTGAAAAATAGCAATATTTACACATGATTTGACCGTTTATTTTATTAAATATCAAAAATCTAAAAGGAGTGCATCATGCCTGGCACCAACATGAACTCTTTAATTGGTTTTATGACTGTAAGTCGTTCTCTTCAAATGCAATTGAAGTTATATATATAACGGGAAGAGAACAGGTGTGAAACTCAAATCAGTAAGTAAGAATTGACAGGGATCACAGGCAAACAGGAACAAACATTTGCGTTTTTCGCGTATAGACGACAAAGCTGTCAAAACTAGCCCAGTTCACACGGATCCGTGAAAACAACTAAACACGCTGTATTCTGCTGCCAGGCCACAATATGGCGAAGTCACTTTGTAAAGAAACACTACTTGCCTATAGACTGTAATACGCATGATGTCACCGTTTTCACAAATTTGTGTTTTCGTTGTTTACACAGAGAAAATAACGATTGAAAAAAACGTGCAGTTTGAAAACCGTTTTTAAAGGTTTGCGTTTTCAGGCCCCCAAAATGACATCATCGTGGAATAAAACGCATAAAAAGTTTTCCGTTTTTAGTTGAAAATGGTTTTGTGAAATATGGCCCCTAAAACACAAATGAACTAACAGAACTAAACATAACCCTGACACATACATACAATACACTCACATAAAGCAATACTGTATATACATTAATTCTCAACTGCTTGATTGCTTGTATCATTGCAAAATGTGACCTATATTATTGCCCTGGTCCTCATATATATACACTCACCTAAAGGATTATTAGGAACACCATACTAATACTGTGTTTGACCCCCTTTCGCCTTCAGAACTGCCTTAATTCTACGTGGCATTGATTCAACAAGGTGCTGAAAGTATTCTTTGGAAATGTTGGCCCATATTGATAGGATAGCATCTTGCAGTTGATGGAGATTTGTGGGATGCACATCCAGGGCACGAAGCTCCCGTTCCACCACATCCCAAAGATGCTCTATTGGGTTGAGATCTGGTGACTGTGGGGGCCAGTTTAGTACAGTGAACTCATTGTCATGTTCAAGAAACCAATTTGAAATGATTCGAGCTTTGTGACATGGTGCATTATCCTGCTGGAAGTAGCCATCAGAGGATGGGTACATGGTGGCCATAAAGGGATGGACATGGTCAGAAACAATGCTCAGGTAGGCCGTGGCATTTAAACGATGCCCAATTGGCACTAAGGGGCCTAAAGTGTGCCAAGAAAACATCCCCCACACCATTACACCACCACCACCAGCCTGCACAGTGGTAACAAGGCATGATGGATCCATGTTCTCATTCTGTTTACGCCAAATTCTGACTCTACCATCTGAATGTCTCAACAGAAATCGAGACTCATCAGACCAGGCAACATTTTTCCAGTCTTCAACTGTCCAATTTTGGTGAGCTCTTGCAAATTGTAGCCTCTTTTTCCTATTTGTAGTGGAGATGAGTGGTAGCCGGTGGGGTCTTCTGCTGTTGTAGCCCATCCGCCTCAAGGTTGTGCGTGTTGTGGCTTCACAAATGTTTTTGCTGCATACCTCGGTTGTAACGAGTGGTTATTCAGTCAAAGTTGCTCTTTGCTTAAGACCGGCCCGTCTGGCACCAGCAACCATGCCACGCTCAAAATTGCTTAAATCACCTTTCTTTCCCATTCTGACATTCAGTTTGGAGTTCAGGAGATTGTCTTGACCAGGACCACACCCCTAAATGCATTGAAGCAACTGCCATGTGATTGGTTGTTTAGATAATTGCATTAATGAGAAATTGAACAGGTGTCCCTAATACTCCTTTAGGTGAGTGTGTATATATATATAAGTATATCCAACTGTAAAAATTTTAAACATTAACATCATGGAAATCTGCTTTGAAACAGTTTGTATTGTGAAAAGTGCTATACAAATAAATTTGACTTGATAATAGATGCTTGCTCATGTGTCCACTAGTTTAATCATCATGGATTAACATAAACGTGTGTAATTCACACAACTGTAATATATCACATTAACAGGCCTCCTTAGACTTAGACTCTCATCTGTAAAATATATATTTAGATACAAGACAAACTAAAGCATAGCTTACTTGAAAATAAATTTGTGGAGCTGCAATATATATCAGTGTGTGGACAATACATTTCTTTGTTCAAAAGCAAAACAAATGTTATGGATTCACAAAAGGTGTTTCAGTTGTTAGAATCTGAATCGGATCCAGAATCGTTAAACTCTCCCACAGTGAAAACTATTATGAACGTACATTATTCAGCGGCTCACAGTGGAAGTGCTTATTATAGACTTCAGGAGAAAACTAGAGCAAGTCCTAACAGAGCTGCGTCTTACAGTACATTACAAACCTGAGAGACTAATGAGCTGACCTCTCTCTTTCTCTGTGTGTGTCAGGCCTGAATCTAAGTGGAGGTACAACAGACTCTCAATCGGGAACATCTCAGATGCTTATATGATTCCTCTCCTCTCTGAAAGAGTTGTGCACTGACCCGTGTTCTTCCTCACGTTAAGGATGCTGTCACCATCTGTACATTGGGCATCGGCACAGCTTTCGGGGAGTCCATTCTGGACAACACGCCACGGCACGCCACCATTGTCACCCGGGAGTTCAGTGAACTACTGCGGATTGAGCAGAGGGAGTTTAGGACCCTGTGGGAGGTATGCCAGTCTACTGACAATATATGCTACATAATCATATCAGAAAGTTTGATGTAATCTGCTTTGTGTTTAGGTTTTATTGAGAAGGAATAACTTTAGAAGAGTTATTTTGTGTTTGTCTCGAAAGTTTTTTTTACACTGCCAGATTAACACCTGTTTGAAAACAAAACTACAGTTTAGCATAGTTTTAAAAAGGAAATGGAAATAATATACTTTATAAGAATATAAAATTAAACATGTTAATTGCAATTAAGTGAAAATGTCTTATATTTTACATTTGTATTAAATGCAATTCGTTGAACCTTAGAGTGTTTTTGACCCACTTAATTAGGACATAAGTACATCTTTATATGTCATTTCATAATTCTATTGTCTATTTGTAATTACACATTTGCAATGATGAAGTTGCAAACAATAGTACATTTAAAATATAGTAAGTTTAAATGTAATATAGAATAATACACTACAGTTAAAATTATAATTAAGTACGGTAACACTTTACTTGAAGGGGTGTGCATAAGACTGACATGACACCTTCATAATCATGACATGACACATGTCATGAATATGAAGGAGGGTTTATGCATGTTTGTGACAACTGTCATTAAGTGTCATTCGCTCAGTTATGACATTTTTAATGCAAATATGACATTGTTTGAGATGTCTTTGTTATGACACCTTGACATAAACCAATACATCATAACCTGTCAGTGTCTTGGTAATGAAAACTTGACATTACTAAGACAACACAACCTGTCATAAACATGACATAGCAGATTAATTATCAAACTTAGCTTTATGGGTTAACATTACATTAAACTGTCAGGTGGTTGGTTTTGACATTGGCTGTCATAAGGCCATTATAACTGTGTCATGAATATTTTTCTTGACCTCAACGACAGTGGTACAAATTGAATTTGTCATTAAAATGTTATAATGGCCTCATGACAGCCAATGTCAAAACCAACCACCTGACAGTTTAATGTAATGTTAACCAATAAAGCTAAGTGGTCTCTTATGTTTGATCATTAATCTGCTATGTCATGTTTATGACATATTTATGACAGATTGTGTTGTCTAGTAATGTCAAGTTGTCATGACAAAGACACTGATATGTTATGATGTATTGGTTTATGTCAAGGTGTCATAACAAAGACATCTCAAACAATGTCATATTTGCCTAATGTCATATTTGACACCTAATGGCAGTTGTCATAAACATTTCTAAATGTTTTCTGACTTTGATAAAACTCCTGCCTAAGTTCATCTAGTGGTAATGAAGACTGTCCAAACAGACAAGCTTTATACGTACACTGTTTTTATTTAATAGATAAAACATCACAGAACAGCTCAGTGCAGTGATTTGATTGGCTATTTGGGCTGTCACTCATTCATCTGTCCTAAGGTCAATTTCCAGACTGGGACAACTTCTGAAAAAAAAAAAAAAAAGAGAATGTGTTTTAGCTGCTTTATCACTTTTAGCCAGCAGGGGACAGTGTGATCTTAATATTTGGAAGTCATCCTCTAAGAAGTGCAGTGGTTCACCCAGGGCCAGGAGACCAGTTTTAAAGACCACAAGACAGAGCCGGCCAAGGGCGTAGATTTGGTTTGAACATTGGGGGGGTTGTAATGTTTAATATAGTTTAAAAAAATTGTTCTGCATATTTTTCATGTGATCATGGTATAAATATTGGGGGGGGTTATCTCCCCCCCCAACCCCCCCATAAATTACGCCCCTGGAGCCGGGCCGAACCTTTTGGGGGCCCTAAGCAGAATTTGATTTGGGGGCCCCTCCCACTACACGGTGTCACCTGTGCTTGACGATTATTGACACAAATCATGTCACGCAATAATGATACATTATAAATTAATACAGTGAGGTTATGTATAAATACAAAATAAATACTTAATAAAAATAGATAGCCTACTAAAATATTTTTTTTTAACTTTTCCTTTACTCTTTTACTAACTCTTGAGAAAACTGAGAAATCAAAAACATAATAAGAGCAAGGGTTTAACAATGACAATTATTGTTGAAAACTGTAAAAAAAAATATTATTATTTCTCAACTGTCTCAATACAGTGTAACGGTCCACAAAATCTTCTTTTTTTTTAAATTAATATTATTGTAACAGACTTTGTTAGATTGTACATGACAGAATCCAACAAAGTCTGTTACTATAATACCGGTAATGATGTACTGGCGATCGTTGTATACGTGTGTATGCAATGTATTTTTCCCCTCGGGGCTTGCCGTAGATAGGAATGGGTCAATTGCTGCACAAAACATACCATAAGTAGTCATGCAAACATACTTTTATCTTGCTCTTTTTTTCTCCTCCTGTGTCATTTTCTTCGTTCTATTTTCGGCACCAGAGGGATTCGTCCTTTTTTGTGACATGCCTTGACATTACCGCGAGTCCTCGACTATGCGCAGTTGCGCACGAATTGTCTATGCACGCGCGAGGTGTCGATTATGCGCATGACTTAAACGCTGGCAGACACAGCAGCAGTTGTACTAGTAGGGAGGTAGGCTATATTGATCATGAAATCAGATTTTTTTTGTCTTTAATTATTCATTCATTCATATTAATTCATTCATTTATGTCACTTGTTTAAGTTATCTAAAATTTTTTTTTTCGATTTTTCGACTCGATTGGGGGGCCCCCTGGTGGCCAAGGGCCCCAAGCAGCTGCTTAGTTCGCTTATGCCTCAGGCCGGCCCTGCCACAAGAGGGTTGAAAATAAGCTAAACAACTAAAAATCAAGATGTTCACTAAAACAAAATTCAGTCTTAATCCGTAATCAATCACAGACCACCAGAAAAGTGTAAATTCATTGCTTGTAAAGAACTCTGAAAAACATTTTGTTCTTGGAAATTCTGCAACATATATATTTTAATTGTAATATATTGCCACTCCTAGTTGGTTGGAAAAAAGGAGCTTTGTTATTACAGCAGACGCACCAGAAATATCTCAGTCTACATGGCTTTGAATGGTGTCATGGATAATGGGGAGCCTTGGAGTCAAAAAGCTGGAGAACATCTAGAAATACATCATTTCTGTATCTTTTATGTACGGAGTTGTACTTAATTCCCAGAACTCATACTGAAGGAATTGTCTATCACTCACTTCCCCATAAGCAGCAACAGAAGAAGAATGAAGCTCTTCTATCAGCACTTCTGCTCTTTAGGGCCGCGAGTTTATTTCTGTCGTAGTCTTTCATTCTCTCATTTAGTTCTTTCTGGCCCGTGGGCAATCCGAAACTCTGTGCCTGATGGGAAGCTTTTACTGGAGCGGGTCAGAGAAGGACAGAGCAGCCTCGAGCTGGAGCAGAAGGAGAGGAAGACAGGGGGAAGAAACACAAAGAGAGTGAAGGAAGAGAGACGGAGACACAGAGTTTCCCCTGAGAGGGACTGTCCCTCTGCAGTGTGTGTGTGTGTGTGTGTGTGTGTGGGAACTGAGAGGACCAGCGGAAGACCTACTCCAAGGTGATTCTTATCTCATCATTTTTGTGTCTGGCTGACTGTGTTTATGGTCAGATTTATTTGTAGCACTTTTCACGATATGCATCATTTCAAAGCAGCTTTACAGAGAGTCGCACTGTTATGTCTATCATATCTTAGTGCTTTACCCTAGAGACAGTTTTATGAGTGATATAAAACGATGATACGAGTGATTCTCCGGGTTCAGGTCCAGATTTACTGTATTTATAGTGTTGTCTAGCGCGTGTATCAGTGGCATACATCTGAGCGTTTAATTAAGAGATATACAGGTAAAACTCGAAAAATTTGAATATGGTGCAAAAGTTCATTTATTTCAGTAATTCAACTTAAAGGGTGAAACTAATATATTATATAGACTCATTACATGCAAAGTGAGATATTTCAAGCCCTTTATTTGTTATAATTTTTGATGATTATGGCTTATACAGCAATATTCTAATTTTGAATTTGGGGTTTTCATAAGCTGTAAGCCATAATCATCACAATTATAACAAATAAAGGGCTTGAAATATCTCACTTTGCATGTAATGAGTCTATATAATATATTAGTTTCACCTTTTAAGTTGAATTACTGAAATAAATGAACTTTTGCACCATATTCAAATTTTTCGAGTTTCACCTGTACATGTCAGTTTTGTTCTAAGCAAGAGTTAGTGTTTCTCAAAAAAAGTATAAATGAAAATTGATGCGCGGGCAATAGAACTAAAAAAGAGATTTAAGTTTTAAGTTTTATCAAGTCAATTTTGCATAAAGCATCACGGAAGATACGATTGTAAGTGAAAACTAGCCGGTTATTAAAGAGTCTGAGGTGTGTAACATTTTACAAGTCATTTAATATTAAGAAATATGGCTAGCATCTCTGATTTTAGGCAGAATTACGGTAACACAGTGGTGTTCCTGACTGTGGTTTAAGATAACTTACATGATTGTGGTAAAGATTCAAAGATTCAGGTCTGCACCAACCTATACATAACTTAAAAAAGGAGCAGATCCTTAATAATATCATTTAGATCCTTAATAATATTTTGTCATGCTTTGAAGAAGTGCACTTATTTTGATGTGTTTGATGTCTCATACTAAATCGCATGTAAAGTACTATCTGTAAAAAAATAAAATGCCATTTTTACGGTAAAATACCGGCAGCTGTGGTTGCCAAAACTTTACCGTCAAAAATATGGTACAGACGTTATTGGTTTTACTGACTTAACTTAAAATTTACAGTAATAAACCGTATTTCATTATCTGATATAATGTTAATTTACCAACCTATTTATGTATTAATATCTGTTTTTTACCATTGTAATACACTGACAATCAACAATCATGAATGTCACATGATAAATCAAAGCTCATCACAAGCAGCTCTTCCACGAGAAAGTTAGTACTAATATATAGAAGCTGCACAGTGTCATTCGCACAAACACTAAACAGCATCATGGTAACTCATGAAATTTAAAAATGCAATAAACATTAATTTAACAACATTAAATGTAACA